TAAGTGCAAGAAGACAACGTAAGGTTCTCAAGAAAAGAAACAGCAAAGGATGCAAATTACGAATTGTAGATACAAAAATGGTAAAACTATTTAAATATATGAAAATTATTTTAACAAATGATAGAAAGTGGATCACCGAAACAAGAATACGCAAATTATGCCTTCCAAAATCTAATCATGGTATTAAGAAAAAGAACAATTTTGTTCGAAACAAATAAAAGATACTTAGCTGTTATGTAATATCGGTCCTCCTATATTGGAGTGAATGTCTGAAAATCCAATCATTGTTGAGTAAAAATCTTGAAACAACAGAAAATAGTTCTATAAAAAAATGCCAAGGATACCATGGATGGTTCATGTGACCAGCGACGAAGTTTTAGATTAAATGGATACATAAAGAACCCTTATACTCAACATCAGAAAGAAACAGCTGAGATTTCTAGAGCACATAGTGGGAAAAGAAAGTAGTGAAAATCTGAGACTCTCAGGACATATTTGGGTTAAGAATGTGGAAAATAACGCATCAACTTCTTAATGGAATGCTGTAAATGGATAGCAGGACAGTGTTCAGGAGAGACAGCAAAAATACAAAATTTATTAAAAGTTACAAAAGTCAGGAAATTGTGAAGAGCCATGATCGCCAACGTACTAAAGGTAAACTCCACATAGAAGAATATATCATCAATTTAATTTGCTATTAATAAGTTAATATTTTGACTATTTGATACCTGTATTATCCCAAGTCTAAACGTTCTATTTCATGTGAGAAAAGACCAAAGCTTATAAATCTATCGTGGTGAAGCATATTTCTAATTCAAGGGATCATTACGATAATGCATTTTTGTAGTTGTTGTCTATCACACTGAATGTAAGGCGACAGCACACGGAAAGTATGGACTAGAATAAGATAGAGTAACGATGATTTAATCGCCAGAAACGTTTATTTACGTTTGTAGATGAGTTTCTTTACATTATAGTTAGAATGCCACGTGCTTTATTTAAAATAAAGTTGCAGTAAATTTAAGACTTACGGTCAGAGATAATAATTATGCCTAAAACATTTTCTTAAGTATTGCTACGTATTACATGTCCGCGAAGAACGGATTTCATTTACGGATGTTGACTGCCTAGATACATGTATTCTCAAAAGCGATTTTGTCGATCAAACAAATAATACATCCACATCGTTACGAAGAATGTGTTGAACATGTAAAATGTTTCATATCGTTGGCGTATTTTTCAAGCAATCATCCATTTCATCTAATTTGTTGATTCATTTTATAAGGTTTATCAACCTTTGGCAGGTTATTTAAATCCAGAAAGTATTTCTATATCGAGTTTCTTTTCAGATATAATGATTTTAGTTATACACTTCTTACTAATTAACCAATAGCCGGCGGTAGAAGAGTTAGATTCGTATTTTTCCCTAGGGTATTTCTGCAGGTGAAGGAACAGTTGCGTACTGGACATTTACGTCCCAGACAATTACGCACCAGAAAATTGCGTCCCTGAACAATTGCGTCCCAGGATAATTGCGTCCCAGGATAATTGCTTACCTGTGATATTTTTTTTTAGAGTTAGCATTTTTTTTTTCTTTTAAAGAGCTATTTAATATAGAAATTTTCACACCAATACCTTTAATTACTCTAAACAAACAGAAAGGTAGTTATTATAAATAAAAAAAGTGAGAACATTATCTTTTTTAAACCAAGAGAAAATTAAACTAGCTTTTTCAGTTCACTCCAGCAGTGCATACCACAAACATCTATTAGAATCTAGATTTTATAGATAATATTTTTTCATTTATCACACTTACGCAATTGTCCAGGACGCCACATTTGCGGAACCACTTGCTCGTAATTGAATTTAAACTCGGCTCTCCAATTAACAATTCCAAGCTTATAATACCCTTTACTGGCAAGCTGTTAATAAAACGCACCTCTTACTATAACACTTTTCCCTCTAGAAAAGTGCTAATACAAGAAAGTTACATATCCTTAATACCATATACAGTTAATTTAATTTACAAGCGTTTATGAGGTGCTGTATACAATACTTTGGAAACATTTTTGTATCAGACATCGGCGTTGTCTTTCTTACCCAATTTTCTTGTCAAAAATATGAGCTGTTCTGTACGAACGTTTTGACACAAATTCGTGTTAATAAGTGTAAAGTATTTTGTGGACAGCTCAAAATCGAAGTATATCCATTCTGTCGAGAGTTTCCATAGATTTAAAGGAAACCTGAATATGACTCGTGTGACGGTAATTGGCCGCCATGTTTTTTTTTGTTTTTTTTTGTTTTTTTATCCCGTCTTACTAATTGGGAACATATGGATTTTTGTTTCGTTTTTTTGTTTTCTGTTGTTTTTTTTGTATTTTGTTTTGTTTTGCAATGCGTTGGTAAAAATCTTGCTTTAAAAAGAGCATTAAAACATTGCTTTTTTATATAATAATCTAACCAAGCTTTTTGTACAATATATTAGGAATAATGTCCAGAACAAGAGATGAAAATTTCGAGTACCCACCGAATGTTTCGAAACAAAATTTCACAGTAAATTTTATTATAGAAAGACATTCACTAATTTTATTTGTTGTATTTACTACGTCTGCAATGTTTTCTTTATTAAAAACCGTAAAGGATAATTTCAGCTGTTTCTTTGTCATTCTCCGTAAATGTTTCATTTATTTTCCTTATTGGCGATGCCTGCAAATTCCTTCTTTGTTTGTTTTTATTTGTCCAATTTTATTTTACCCGCTTCAGTTTTTTATTTTGAAATTTATCGACCAAATTATGTTTTCTGTAACATTCATGGAATTCTTTTTATAACTGAATCGATTTTAGAGACTTCCTAAAGCAAAACATTACATATCGGGATTAAGTACGATATACCAATTATTTAAAAATGTCCGTCTCAACTAACTCATGAAGATCTCGAAATAGGAAATCACACCACGCTGTCGATAGTTGCATCTATCACGACGAAACGAAACACACTATTTTCATGGTAACATTAAAAAAACACGCGCGTGAAAACACACAGACTACCAGCCGCATTTTCTATCAGCCGCTTACCAGTGAACAGACACCGATAAAACGACAAGCAATGTAAGCATCGAAAATTCGAAATCTTTTCAACCGAATATCTTCACTAAAATGACATATATATCAACGAGTGTAGTTCTCTGAGACAATGACCTCATCAAATTGTCTTAAGAGATCAAAGTAATCCACTTACTGGTGTTGATCTACTGGGAATAAGTAAACTGGGGATTCTATCATAGAAACGTAGACCATCACAATTTTGAGGGGGTCGTTCTAGGACACACCCTGACATTTCACGAGATTGTAAACTTCATTCACTCATTAGGCGATCATGTATCTTTCGATACATGACTGACGAGGCTTTTTTTTTGCGGCATTGCTTTCTGAAAAGACCATTAGCCACCCAAGGCTATAGAACCCGGTATATACTGCTATTTACACATAGCTGGGTGAGGGTAGAAGAAGAGGTTTTATACCTTTCCCAAGGGTATTAGCAGGTAAGTGAATGTAATGGATTGGACTGGAATTAGAACTCGGCTCTCCGATTCCTCAATCCGAGCCGTTATCCATAACTCCACCGCGCCTCCACGTGATTGTAAATATACTTGCCCTATAAAGAAATTAATGCATATATTATACCAATTCCATCGAAAAAAAAATGTTTCAACTACTGATTGGGTAGCCATACAGCGGAAGGACATTTTGAATGATTTGCACACTTCCTTGAATTTACACAAACTTTGTTGTGTTTATACACCAATACCTCACTATAATCAAATATATCCGCTGGGAGCGAAATTTGTTGGTACTCCGATAATTTTCTTCGGGCTACAGCTACAAGAAATTGGGACTGACCTTTAAGCGTGTTACTCGCATTTCAAACTAACCTCGTGAAAACGAGGCTTTCATATGGATTTCAAGCATAGCAAGCAACACGTTTGGAAATGTCTAAAATGTCAGCTGAAAAAAAACCGCTTTACCAAATCAATAATAAAAATAGCTTCGAGTAGATGAAATTTGTATGCTTTAGAGAGGATTATCTTTCTTCGTATTTCTTAAGTTGAAATTACAAAATCACAAAGTACTGTACTAAATAAAATAGGTCACATAACTTCAGGATTTCCAACAGTAGAAACTAGTAAGTCGACAAGAAAATTGACGTACCACACTACAACTAGGAAAATGATAAAAAGAACACCTCATCAATACTGGAACGAGCGATAACAATTGAGTAGATAAAACTATTTTCCTGTAATTAATAGAAAAATTTTAAAATATTAAACGATAGTAACAGGCTGTTCGGTCAATAAATTTAAAACGTTTCCTTAAGGGGAAATAGCTAAAATAGCAATTACCTTTACATATGTCAATAGAGATTTATTTTTTTGACATCAACCGAATTAAAACGGAACAATTCTTTCATACTATGGAAATATTTCATTCCTTATGGATTGATTTTTATAATATTTTTATGGGTGTTCAAATAGGGAGATAGAGTATCACGTGTGATGAATGGTTGTAGGGAGGACAGGGCAAGGTTCGGCTGCAAAAGAGGTGGGCTGTATTATAATTAGTGTAGGAATTTGTCACATCATTCGAAAACATAGTCCCGGAAGTTCTCCCAATCGTGGTAGTAAAGATGAGATTTTTCGGATGAGAGGTAGTTGATTGATGTATTTATTTTGAGGGTTTATAAACCTGTTGCAGGATATTTACAGCTCGGAAATATTTTTGGATTTTAAGAACTTTATTCTTATGTCGGGCGGGGGATAGACAATACTGATTTTTATTTATACAAGTTCTACTAATTAACCCATAGCTGGTGAGAGAAGAGGTGGTCTCACATCTTTTCAAGAGTATATTATAAGTAAATAAAACGAATATAGTTGGGATTAAACAGCTCTGAGATTTGCAATTATCAGCCGTTATCAATCACACCATGCACACATCTAGGCTTGTGGCACTTGGTATTCCCAAGCGGTCATCCATCTATATACTGATCACGATCGACTTTGATTAACTTCGGTGATCGTACGAGAATCGGTGTTTCAACGTGCAGTGGCCACAAGCCTGACAACATTGTTATGGTGGTAGAAAAATTCTCTTTCAGCCCGATCATTCATCTTCAAGATCAGAGGTTGCATATTTGCTTTCACCTGTAAGGACTGATATAGCCGGCGCATACGACTGTTGTGTGTCTACTCTTTGACTGGCGGTGTTTACCAAGTTTGGCCATATAGATCCCCTTGTCTAGGGCTTCGTATCATACTTTTCCATTAAATGATACTCTCTCAAACTTCTATATTGCCATAACGTTTTTGATGTGGGCAATTGATAGATTCGCGGAGTGTAGTCTCAAAGTTATACGGTAACATCTGGTAGAATATTCCAGCCTGTAATGCTGGACGAGACAATTACAACCTTCTTTTCTGCGGTCAAGGTAGGTGTCAGGAGATCGCGAAGATCGACGTCTCGTTTCTTACTGTTTGTCTCTTTTCCCGGGCAAACGGAAGACAATTGAGCAATCTATGATGTACCAACGTGCTGGTTAACTCACTGTAAATTCCTAACATTGAATATCAAACTTTTTAGAATGAGGCTGCCTGGGACACTCTTAGTTGGAAGCACCATTGTTTCTTCTAATATTGAAGGAAGAATCCATCTAAGTACACACTAAAGTCAAAGTGACATTCGAATCACGAACTTATATACATCTGCATCCGACACAAATGATAGAGAGAAATTACCCTTCGGCTTTTTAATAAGCAAAATACAACAATATGAATATTAATAGAATAGCATAGGTATAGAAAAACGCAGTAATTTCAATTTCTAAAGTGCATATAAATTCAATCAATACATATGAAAAAAACATATAACTACAAATAAAGAAGAAAGTAGCATATGTTTTGGTGCGAAGTGTTATTTTTTTTCTAATCCCTGTCTCATCTTCCACCTTTGAGTTAAACGTGTAAACATTGGATGAATTGCAGTAAATCCAGCAAACGTCATTGCGCAACTTTCTCGGCATAATTAACTAAATTAGTTCCAGGCCAAGACTATAAACACAGAATGCAGAGTAATCAAAATGATAAGGAAGTGAAAAGAGAGCTAGCGGGGGAAAACGACGAGAAATTGGCTCTTGAACGATAAGGGTGAAGTAATGAAAAAAAAATGTGAGTATTGTAGAGGAAAAGATGAAAACGAAATTAAAAAACAAGATAAAAGTAACAGAATTAATAATAGCAAGCACGTTGAAGGAGTATTAACAGATATGAAATGGATTAAAAATAGAAAAAACAAAAACCAAAAAAACAGACAAATGCGATTAAATGATAATATTTGTAGTCGAGCAAGAAAAATAGAGAAAAGGTAAAGGAAGGAAACAAGTAAATTAAAAGGTAAATAAAAGTGATGAAGGAAAAGTTAAGAGAGTGATAATAAGAGTGAAACTTCAAATTCCAAAGTAACAGATTTAATAATTTAGAAGAAAAGAAGGGGGAGAAAAGGGGGAGGAGGACTGGTAGTAGTAGTAGTAGAAGTAGTGGTTGGTGGAGGACGATGAGAAAATAAAAAATAAAGAAGAAGCAGCAGCAGAATAATAATAATAATAATAATAATAATAAGAAGAAGAAGAAGAAGAAGAAGAAGAAAGAGGAGGAGGAGGACGAGGAATATGGAATGGAGGAGAAGGCGGACGACGACGATAAATGAAAGAATAAAACAGAAGAAGGAGAAGTAGAAGAAAAGTGGGAGGATGACAAGAAGAAGAAGATGAAGAAGAGAGGAGGACGAGGAGGAGGATGAGGACAAGAATTATGAAAAGAAAGAAAAGAAGAAGGAGAAAAGAAAAAATATGACGAAGGAGAAGAAGAAGAAAAAGGAAGATGAGGAGGAGAAAGGCGAGAAGAAGACAAAGAAGAAGAGAAGATCTAATAGAAACTTAGAATTACGCAAGAAAAGTATGCGACTGAAACAAAAGAATGTAAGAAAGAAAAGAGATTATAACAAATGCTGACATTCTAAATTGTTGAAAGATGATGAAACTATTGGAGATTATCTATGTATTATAAAAACCTATAAAATAGCAACTGGAAAAGTGTTAGTCATAGTGATTATGTCTGCCCGATCTCTATCTCTCCCTCTTTCTCTCTCTCTCTTTTTCTCTTTCTCTCTCTCTCTCTCTCTCTATATATATATATATATATATATATATATATATATATATATGCGTGCGTGCGCGCGCGAGCGTGTGTGTGTATGTGTGTACGCCGGTGTAAATACAAAATTTTACAAGTCGGGAAACAGCATAATTTCACATCGCACAAATTTTATAAAATGGGAAATAAATACTAAACTAATTCAATTTTTTTTTTACAGTTTTTCATAATAATAATACATTTAGCCATCCACAATTTGTCGTAAGAAACAATGAAAAACACATTGAATTATGCAGTTATAAAGTGAACTGGTTAAAATTGTTTTATGTCAGGCCAGTTTCTTCCAAAGTAAGCAATGGTGTGAGGAAAAAATATCATCCAGGCCTTCGGTAATGGTACCAACATTCATTCTCCGGCTTCCATCTTAAAAGTCCATTCAAGAACCTTAAAAAAAGGGGGAATAAGTTTAAAAAGAGTGCTTCTTTTCTTTTCTTTTCTTTTCTTTTCCTCTCCCACCCTCTTATTCTGATCTTTAACATTACATCGTCTATGGCGTGTGTATGTCACCACGAAATGTATCTTTAATGTATTAGACGTTCGACAGTATTCATGTTTCTCTCACTTAAACCTCTTCCACTCACCTCTCTAAACTTCTCTCTGTTAAGGTTTAATCTACCACCTTCTCTCGTCTGTTACCCCTCTCTTTAGCTCTAACATCCATCCCACACTCTCATACTTACTCTCTCTAAATTTTTTTTATTTCCGGAATTGTTTTTTTCTGTTTTCTTTTTGAATTTGTAAGTCTGATGAATTGGATCGTATTTACGATTCAATGGAATAAATTATGACCATGGGATATTAGTGTTTAAGCCTTTTTATTAATATATATATATATATATATATATATATATATATATATATATATATATATATATATATATATATTAGGTTTAGAGTTATTACTTATATAATTGTATCACTATATAGCCAATCCCTAATTCAAACACAGGCTAACATGCAAGCTCAGACAGAGCCGACTTTATACAGCAACTATGCTGAGCAGATCTTCCTTGCAGTTTCAGGAGAGAGCGTATTATCTAGCGTGATCAGCAATCTGAACGAGTCCAGCACAGTCAACCGCTCGGTCACGATGACTTGTGAATTTGTGCTAGCAGAATGTGTTCATAATGCTCGGGTCTTCTAGGTGGTATGGTTTTCAGGCACTTTCCAAAGGCGCCGCACGATGGGATCGTCTCCTCCTCCAGACAGATCACATCAGGATTCGAACCCAGGTCTCATGGTCATTAAGGAAACATTCTAACCACGTGCATAATTATATATATATATATATATATATATATATATATATATATATATATATATATATATAATGCTTTGTATGCATATATATTCATGCACATCGCTTTTCCTTCTGTTAGTGTGCTTTGAGTATTTGATCATATAATTTTGTATATATAATTTATTTTGATGCATTCACAGATGCATGTAATTACAGTTATTGATCATCGATTTTCTGAAAATGATATATGTTTATTTCAATGGATCTTATGTGGATTTTATCAGATGTGATTTCCTCCTGAATGCGCATTTTACTTTCTTTTGAATCTTTAGTCCTCTAACGCATCCACCTATATATATATATTACGCCACCAACTTCCCATTTTTCTTCTTTCCAGGCATTTATCCTTGATATCCGCTTAAGTCTTATTAAATTTATTTAATATCTACTCAGTCTCACCAACCCGTTTCTAACGCCTCTTTTTCAACGTCAGTATCTCTTTTTTTATTTTTTTACATCTATTTTTTCTGCTTCTTTGAACCTTCTTTTCTATTAGTTTATCTTTCTTCCACCTCGTTACGATGTTTTTTTTATTTCTTCTTTGTTTTATCTTTAAAGTTATATAATTATTCATTCTTTTTATAAAGCATATTTGCTGCTTGATCGTCATTCCCACTAGAACGTTAAACTTTTTCTACATTCCTACTCGTCGAAACTGCTTCATTTATGTTCATCTGCTTCGATTTCTTTTGCTTTAAATTGAATCATTTTCAAAGTAAATTGATGACCATGAACATATTGCTCTTACTGGATTATTTATGGTGCTATTTATTGGATATATTTTGAAATTCTTTCTTACCAGTATTCTCTTTTATACTATTATATCACGTGGGCAAACACACTCAGCAAACGGCGTATTTTCCATACAATATTGCACGCTTATACAAACGGCAATAAATAACCTATCGACTAATTTTAGAATTTGTATTCATTCAATCCAATTCCGCCTGTGTAAATATAGGCAAATTTCCTCTCAATCATAAGCACTTAGACAAACATAATACCCACATCTATCATCCACTTTTTATGCATTTATCTGTTAATCTATCTCTCACACACGGTCTCTCTCTCTCATACACGGTGGTATCTCTCTCTTGCTCTCTCTATCTCACTCTCTTTCTCTCTCTCTCTCTCCATATATATATATATATATATATATATATATATATATATATATATGTGTGTGTGTGTGTGTGTGTGTGTGTGTGTGTGTGTGTGTGTGTGTGTGTGTGTGTGTGTGTGTTTTGTGTGAGACATATAAAGATTGGAAATATCGACATTTATGCTACCACGGTTTCTGCCAGTATGTTTCATCGGGCATTTCATGAATCTATTCTGGTAGAAATCGTGGTAGCATAGAGGTAATTATTTCAATATTTTATATTTTAAATTACACTAAATCTTTTTTGAAAATTGTATTGAGCATTTTCTTTATTTAGCCGTTTCTTTTGGCAAATATCACTTTCACCATAGATAGAATTCATAAACCATATACACACACAAATACACACACACACACACACACACACACATATATATATATATATA